AGCCTCCTGAGTAGCTGGGACCACAGGCATGTGCCACTATGTCTGGCTAATTTTTTGTAAAGACAGAGTTTTGCCACGTTGCCCAGCTGGTCTCAAACTCCTGAGCTCAAGCAATCTGCCCACCTTGGCCTCCCAAAGGTTGGGATTACAGGTGTAATCACGATGCCACCATGCTAGTGCTATATCTGTTTTAAATTACTCATACTAAATTCTACTAGGAAACACATCAAATAAAAAGCATTTCTCAGCTGGGTGCCGGGGCTCATGCCTGTAAGTCTCAGCATTTGGAAGGACAAGCAGGAGGATCGCTTGAGGCCAACAGTTCAAGACCAGCCTGGGCAACAAAGCAAGACTCTGCTCTTACAAAAAATTATTTAGCTGAGTGTGTGTCATGCACCTGTAGTCCCAGCTATCGGAAGGCGTAAGTGGGAGGAGTCACTTTGAGCCCAGGAGTAGAGGCTGCAGTGAGGCACTAATACACACTGCCACTCCAGGCCTGGGTTCACAGAGGTGAAATTCTGGTCTCAAAAAGACAAAACCAAAACAAAAAACAAAAAAAACAAACACCACCAATTCTCTTCTAACTTGGGTATAGCATTTTCCTCGAGGTTACATGTTACTATACTCCATATTGTTTACAGAACGGCTTGAATTCCAGCTTTGCTCCCACCGACTCTGCAATTTCTCATTTATCCAATCAAGAAACATAGTAGAAAAAAATCCCCCGCCCATCTTTGTGAGCAAGTACATCAACCTAGAATGAAGCGCTGTCCTGGCTCACCTTTGTCCCGCAAAATGATGTTTTTTATGCAGCTTCAATATTCAGTGGATCATCAAAATTCAAGAAAGATCCTTAAAAAGAGAGAAACTTAAAGTAAACACTGGAAGAATGCATTTTCTGCTGTTAAAGTCTTCTTTTTCATGGCAGCAGTAAGAGAAGTTCTAATTAGCAGAATGGCAGACGAAAGCTGAAAGACGCTGAGAATTCCCACTAGAAACGCTCAAGTGCTTGTGTACCCCGCGCGTCTCTCCCCTGTGGGCATTTTTTTCAAAATGGTGACTGCAAACTGACAGAAATAAGTCAGAGCTAGTTGACATTGCAGTTCTACAAAGTTTGAGTGAAGACGGAGTAAACTGCAATCACATCATTTGTCGACTCTCGCCTTCGCTTGATAACTGGAGAATGAAACCACTCTTCATAAGCATTTCCAATAAAAATCCCTCTTCCTTTCCATAAAATTGTATTTTTCTCTTTGTTTTGTGCATTAACAGCTTTGACTTTTTGAGCCATGGGTTCTCTTGGGCCTTCCCTTGGACTTTCCTTCTCTGCTTCGACCAAGCGTCCCAGTGCACAGTCCAGTAGGGACGTCTGGAACCCGATGCACAATTGCATGGCAGTGTCACTGTAGGCTCATGTCCCCAGACGTAGGAGAGGCGTGCCAGGGACCCATTCTCCCCTAGAAAAACCAGACTGCAACTGCTATGCCCTCAGCCGCCAAGAAGCACTCTGGACTTTGGACCAAGGCCGCATCTTATCTTCACCACCTGCTCGACCCCTCGTTGTTGAGAATCAGAGGGGCTTGCCTTTGGCCGGGCAGTGGTGCGTCATGTCTATAATCCCAGCCACTTTGGGAGGCTGAGGGCGGGTGGATCAACGAGGGTCCCGCGAGTTTTGGGAGACCAGTATTGGCAGCATGGGTCGAACCCGGTCTCCATTAAAAATATGAAAATAGGCCAGGCAATGGTGGCGCCAGTGCCGTAATGAATCCCAGGCCTACCCGGGAGGCTGAGGCAGGAAGAATCGCTTGAACCCAGAGGAGGAGTTGCAGTGAGCCGACGATGGGCACACGTGCATCCAGCCGGGCGACGAGCAAACTCGGTCTCAAAAAACAACAAAAAAGAAAAAATCAGGGGGCTCATTGTGTCCTTGTATGAGGAATCAGTGGGCTTTCAACGCAGGCTATAGGCATGGATCATCGTTCAAGACAACCGTTATTTCTGCTTCAGGAAGACGTTAAATGTGGGGACAATGTTTCCTGGAGAGGGTAATATGGCTTGTGACCATTAAAATGGTTATAAAATAGCAAAGAGGGAGAGAACCTGTAAAGCTCGTTATCATTCACAGTTGGAAAATTAGGTTCAAGTCCAGAGAAAGTCAAGAAATGTAAGTACATTATTAAGATAGGACTGTATCAGACACACAAAATTTCTTATCTTCTTTACTGTATGATTAGACCTAAGATAAATGAGTGATCAGGAATAAACCATTAAAGACTTAATTAGCAAGTTTGATGCTTTTTTAGCAATTACTGAGAGCACTAGAGATGGGAAGTTAGTGTGCGCTATAGCCACATTCTCTTCAAATTTTTTTTTTTCTTTGATGTTTGAGATGGAATTTCGCTCTTTGTTGCCCACGGCGTGGGAGTGCCAATGGGCTGTGATCTCGGCCACTGAACCTCCGCCTCCTGGATTCAAGCGATTCTCTGCCTCAGGCCTCCCAAGTAGCTGAGATTACAAGGCGCCCGCCACCCTGCCTGGCTAAGTTTTTTGTACTTTCTTTTTTTTTTTAGTAGCTGTGAGATTTGCACCAATATTTCAGGCTGGTCTCTCAATCCGAGACCTCAGGTGATCTGCCGGCCTCGGTGCCTCCCAAAGTGCTGGAATCACAGGCATAAGTCACCGCACCCAGCCAAAAAAATTTTTTTTAAGTCCAAGGAGTCAGTATTTCTTTCCTCCCATTAATTCCCCTGCAGCAAGTCGCCAATCAAAACCTACTCAGAGCCAAGGAACCTGGGACAGACATGGTGGGCTCCAGAAAAAAATCATCATGGTGGCTGATGATAATGACGGCACGTGGGCCTCTAGAAGCGCCTGAGTTCACACCTGTTCTCTTTGGCTCTCTCAATCAAATCTAGAGATGCCAAGGCTCAATATTACAATGGAGCACAACGGCCAGACAGATTTCAAATTAGGCTCCAGAAATAAAACTTCATTCACTTCAATGAAAAAGCCAAAGACAGAAGCAGAACAAAGTGGCTGAGAGCAGCAGAAACTGTGAAGTCCAGGTCTCCATCAGGTATGACCTCCCACGGAGATTCAGGGAGATCCTGAAATCACTGGAAGTGCTTGGTTTCTCTGCTTGTGTGATAGACATTCACCAGCTAACATCAGACAGAAAGACAAAAGGTAGGCAGGGACTCAGTTTAGTTTGAGGCTCTGCTTTTGCTGAAGATAAGAACACTGTGCCCTCAGATGATGGGACAAGGAAGAGCAGACCCACCCCTAGTTTAACTGAGTCCTGCAGGTGCCTCTGCTGTAGGCAACAGCCAGTGACCCACATGACACCGGCTAGGAGGATGCTCCTAAAACAGCCCCCTGGCCTGGGTGGACTATCCAAGATCATAGAGGCACCTTAGGTTTTATCAAAATAGCAAAAACTTTTTTTTCACAAACAGATCTCTGAAGCTTATTTCTTTAAAAGCACCTTTATGAATTAAAAAGTAAAAATTCCAAGGAATGTATAATATTGTATTAAAAAAATCCAACCAACAGCTTTTAGCTGAGTCCATTTAGCCTCTTCCTGCACTAGGGCCATTGTCTGAGAAATGCTATTTCCTGAGAACAGCAAACGTCAGCAGCTCATCACTGACAAAAAGACAACAGCTCTGAGGTTCTGGACTCGTGAAAAAGCCTTCAAGGCTGGGTAACCACAAAATCATCCGCCCCAACCAGGACACCTGGGAGGTGACAGGGCCACTCCTTGGGCTGGCTAGTGTAGCCACAGGCACAGACATGGACTGGGCCAAGTGACCCCAGGGTAACAGCCACCCTGCTGGAAGGGGCTAAGGCAAGTGGAACCAACCTCATCCCCTAGAAACTGGGGTCAGCCACCTCAGCAGGGCAGAAGTGAGACTGCTGTGGCCCCTGCCCCAGACAACCTCCCCACGTGTCACTCCAAAGGCCCCTCATTCCCCACCTCACTGTTCTACTTCTGACTCATAAAACAGAAACAGAAAAAAGGGGGGTTATTTTTTCATTTATTATTTTTTTTAGAGACAGGTCTTGCTATGTTGCCCAGGCTGGTCTTGAACTCATGGGCTCAAGTGATCTGCCTGCCTCAGTCTCCCAACGTGCTAGGATTACAGGTGTGAGCCACCATGCCCAGCAAGCATGTTTTTTGGGGGTTTTTGTGTGTATCTGTCTGTTTTTGAGGCAGATCTCTGTCACCCAGGCTGGAGTACAGTGGTGCAATCTCAGCTCACTGCAACCTCTGCCTCCCAGGCTCAAGCAGTTCTCCCACCTCAGCCTTCCAAGTAGCTGGGACTACAGACGTGTGACACTATGCCCAACTAATTTTTCTATTTTTTGTAGAGACCGGTTTTGTTACGTTGCCCAGGCTGGTCTCGAACTCCTGGGCTCAAGTGGGGATCCGCCCAAAGTGCTAGGATTACAGGCGTGAGCCACTGTGCCCAGTACACATTTCATTTTTTAACATGGTTTTGTGTTAACGTTAATGTAATATCTAAAACCAGCAACAAGGAAATCGAGAAAAACTTGGGATTTTGATCACTGTACTTACAGTAAACAAAGAGTTTAATCCCCAAACGACATCCTGAAATAAAAAAGAAAACAGAAAACAAGTTTCAGGCCATTGTGCACCTGTATGCATGTGTAAACCCATGATCAAGAAATATGCACTGTACTGTATCAAAACCTGTCTTCAGCATGGCTTGTTTTTCTCAAGATAGAAAATTAAAATAACTTGTCTTCAAGTGTAATAACAAACTCTGGAAAATTCAAAGAGGTGAGCAGTCTCAGGTAGTGAAGATAAAATCAAAGACAGCATCAGCTGCCCTCCCAGTCAGACCTGACAAGCCTAATCCTGCACGACAGGGCCCGCAGGCCAGTGTCTGCATAGGGGCTCTACCTTGAATCACCTCTTAGCTGTTACCACCAAATATGGTTCTGACTTCTAAAAAGTCACCTTCAAAATAAAGTCTGTTGTTTTTACATCTACTGCCCCTTGCGGTCGTAGATAAGTTAATTACACCTTATCCTATTAAGTTTTCTTAATGATTTTGCGTTATTTAAAGAATAATGGAAGATTCACAATTCAAGGATCAGAGATTTTCATCAAATAAAACTGAAAGCCAGAGTTGTTCTATCTGTACTGACTTGCTATCTGTGAATTACAAATTCATTCTCCATTTTCCTCTTCATCAACTCAAGAGTTTCGTCCTTTTTAGGCCTGTTCTCACGCTCCTCCCCTACTCTTTGCTAGTTGGTAATTTTATTTGCCCTTCTCTGTTTTCTCTAGTCCATCAATTCATCCACCCACCCATCCCTGACCTTCCGATGTGAGCCAGGCTTAGGGTTGGAGTGTGGGTGAAGGTGAGCCCTCAGCCTGAGGAAGGGGGATGGACAGGTGGGCAGGTCAGCAGGCCAGCACTGCTCACGAGACGTGTACCCCAGAGCACCCACCCTGGGAGGAGAGGCTCCAGAGGCAATGACAGCCATCTGAACCCCAGGGAAGCAGGAGTCTGCGAGGGAGAGGGCTGGAGGAGAGGGCCGCCTTCCAGGTAGAGACATGGCCTGCAGAGGGAAGTTTTGAGAGGGAAGGACATTTCTAGAGCGTGGAGAGAGGCTAAGAAAAGGGTGTGGGTTGCCCATGGTGGCAGAGACTACAGCTTGGAGGAGCTTGGTCAGGACTGCATGCAGTCTGCAGTGTTCCCTGATGCAGGGCCAGGGCCAAAAGCCCCTTCCTGTGCTGTTCCCCTAGGGTCCCTGCTTAGTGTTAGGTACCCAACACCTGACAGTCTTCTCTGGCCATAGGGAGTGGTCTGCACATCAATTTGCTGCTCTTCTCCAACACCTAGTGGCCAGAAGAGCTCAAGACATTCCTGTTGAATGAATGGTGGCCATGAGGTTTCCTATGTGGCGAGTGGTTTGGCGGTGAAGCCTGCAATTTGGGCTCCTATCTCTGGTTCTAGAATGGTGACTGGCAAAGCCAACAAGGATGCTCATCCGGCCCAAACTGACTGAGGTCAGTGACTGGCTAAGTAGCCCAGGCAGCAGGGAGAAGAGGAGGCAGGCTGTGTCTGGCCATTGGTGTGGATGTGATAGGCAAGAACATGTGCTGCTTTCTCAGGAGGCTGGCTACTGCAGGGAGAGGACCACAGGGACAACTTATGATCAAGGCACAGACTCTACCTTTAATGTTCTTGTGGGAGCCCAGCCAGTGCCATCAATCGAATGTTCTCTCAGTAAACTGAAAAAGACAGACACACAGTGGTTAGTGAGGAGCAGCCACAGGTGCCTACACACTGCTGACTGGTCCTCTCGGTGCGTATTTTGTCTTTAGGCCATGTAGGAGAACTACTTTTTATTAAACCCACCTTTTCCTCTGTGGCTTCTCAGTTTCCTCTTGCTGAGGAAGGCATTTCTACCTCCAAGGTTATATACATTTTCAAGTATAATGTCTTGTGTTATGTTTGTCTATTTGTTGTAATACTTGACATGGAAGTTTTAGGCAGAGGAAAAGCATGTTTAAAACAACACACAAAGAACATCTGTCAATTTAATGTTCAGAAAATGACAATGGTGGCTGGGTATGGTGGCTCATGCCTGTAATCCCAGCATTCTGGGAGGCCGAGGTAAGGTGGGAGGATCGCTTGGGTTCAGGAGTTTGAAACCAGCCTGGGCAACACAGTGATACCCTGTCTCTACTAAAAATTAAAAATTAGCCAGGCATAGTAGTGCACGCCTGTAGTCCCAAAGGCAGGAGGACTGTTTGAGTCCAGGAGTTTGAGGCTGCAGTGAGCTGTGACGGCGGCCCTGTACTCCAGCCTGGGAATAGTGTGAGGCCCTGTCTCCAAAAGAAAAAAAAAAAAAAAGAAAAGAAAATGACAATGGCAACAAAAAAAAAAAAAAAAAGAAAATGACAATGGCAACAAGATGACAACACGACAACAAGAGTAACTGAAGCTTAAAGCTTATTATGTGTATGTCAGGCACAATCCTAGGTGCTGTGCCACTAAATTCACTTAATGCCTTTAACCACCCGTGAAGGAAGGATCACTGTTTCCCTGTCTTATACAGGAGGAAACCAAGGCACAGAGAAGACAGGCCCAAGGGCACATGCCTCATGAACAGTGTTGTTCTTCCAACCCAGGCAGCTCATGGGCACCGACATTCTGAAACACTGTTGATGCAGGTTAACAACAATGGGAGCTCTCAGCGTATGACATTTTAATAACTGGGTTTTTTTTTTTTAAGTTCAAAAGAAAATGCTTGAGGATAAAAGATTAATGCACAATTCTGAATATCAATCACTTCTTAGGTGAGGGGCCCATGCTCAGGGAAGGCACACCAGGATTCAGAGGTCCGGTGAGGCCCCATTTCTGAAGCTGGTACCTGAGAGTCCTGGTCCTGACTGTCTATCAGCTGTAAGGCACACCATATACTCTCATGGAAATGATCGTTCCAGTGCTCACTTCCGCAGCACATATGCTCAAATTGGGATGACACAGAGAAGATCAGCATTTTCACAATAATCTCAAAAAGTAAAAAAAAAATTAAATAATTTTAAAGAGATTAAATGATCATTCCATACTTCGAAAAAGTATAATTTATTGCCAAACCTCCTTCTGGAGATAAAATTACTTTTGCATTTGTTGAATTATTGTGCTGTGGCTTTGATCTGCACATAAAGTATCAGGCTGTATAGGCCATAATTGTTACCTCTGATAAACTTTTTTGAATTAGAGCATGTTTAAATTCACGAAAGTCAATTTAGATCAGAAGAAAAATATGTAGAGTTTGAGTCAAAGCTATAATCTTAATTGTCTATGAAGAGCAGTTATAAAAACAGATAACTAACCTTAAATTGACCACTAAAATTTACTTTTGCCTTAAAAAGAAAAAAGGAAAACTCAAATCACATACCCTACCAACTGGGTGGATGTCTTTCTACCCGACAGAGGTACTGGTGACTTGTGGATGTGAATCGTCAACTTCTGAATACCTTTTTTGGGAATCAAGTCAAATCCTAGTGGCTACATTTTGTTACTAGAGTGGAAGAATTATTTCTGATCTAGCTAATAATTTTCTTATATAGATCTTAATGCAACCTTCAGTTATATATTTGTCATTTATTTGTTGAATGCCCGTTTCATCCATAAAAGCAGAGAATGCTAATTCCTCTGCCAGTGCCTAAGCTCAATCAACATTAGCTGAATGAAGGAGAAGGAAGCTCACCCTGAGCTTTGCTGTCAACAGCACAGCCAGAGCAGGAGGGCTTTGCATGTGGCAGGGTAGGGAATGGGGAGGCAAGGCCGGCCCCAGCATGTGGTGGCCACTGGTCTGGGCAGCAGTGAGGCCCATCAGGGGTGCAGTGCCCCCAGTCACTGACGAAGTTCTAGCCTGGCCTCACAGAGGACAGTCCCAGCAACAGCTCAGGAGACAGAGACACTCGGCTATCAGAGATGTCATTAAGCAAGGAGACAGAGGACACCCCAGGAACTGTAACAGAAGCTTAGGCTCTAGGAGAAGCTTCGACTGAGCTCTTGACCTAGGCCCTCCAATCCCACAGACATGGAGCCTCTGACCTTGTGTCAGAGCAGGGGAAGTGCCCCTGCTGAGACAACAAGGTGGAGCCAGGGCAAATCTCTCTAAAAGAGGACGGTGCTTCTGTGTGCCAGAAATGAAAGGCCCATGGAGCACCAGGCATCCATCAGTCCTGCTGTGGGAAGGGCCTGATTAGCTGCTGTCCAGTGGTCACCACAAACCAGAGGTGTAGCTGGGCTTTTCTTTCCCTTTATTCAGGACACACCATAAAGCTGCCACTGGACACTGTCTGCTTTTCACTAACAAGGTGGTCCCTGTACATCAATCTGACACATTATTTCCTTAGATTAAATCCCTAGAAGTGCAGCTGACAAGTCCAAGGGTACATACGAGTTAAAGGTAGTCTACATGGCTGAAGGACCAATGAAAGGTGTGCAAATATACACACCCTCCAACGAGAGAGCCTGCTCGCTCTCTATCACACACTCCCTGCCCCACCACCAAGTATCTACCTTTGTGCCTGCCAATCTGATAAGTGGTAAGCCACACCTCATGGTTTTCTGCACCTTTCTCTGGTTACCGATGAGAGTGAACATCCCCTTAGATATTTACTGCCCACTTCTATTTCTCCTTTTATGAATCACCTGTTTGTAGCCAATGCCACATTTTTCCAGAGGAAGTATCCATCTTTTTTTAATGAATAGTAAGGACTATTTACATACCAAGGATTTTAATCCAGTTGATCATTTCTCCTTCCATTTTGTGTTTTTAATTTTTATGTGGTCAAATCTGACAATCTTTTTCCTTGAGACGTCTGGCTTTTATATCAGGATACCATCTGTTTATCCTTATCAGGCTTTGCTAATCATCTGATTTCCCAGAAGATGGCAAAAAGGACAAGAGAGCTTCCTATTCTGCACCCAATTCTGACTGAGGCAGGGGCAAGACAGGTAAGTAGAGTATGGCCCCCCAGAAAGTGAGCCAGGTGTCCTCACAATCACAGGAGGAAGTGGGGCAATGGGGGCCTGGGCCAAACACATTTATAACCTGCAACCAAAGATGGTGGAATTTTAACATTTCAATACGCAAAGGACAGATACTTCAAAGAGAAGATGCTTTTTGAAAAAGGCATGCCTGGTAAAATGTATTTTTAACTATCTGAAAAATGAGGCTGATACTGAAGAAAGGGAGCAGTATATACAAAAATGAAATGGACAAATGGGCACTAACTGTACTTGTGAAGAGAAAGGCATCCTGAGGTAAGATTTCCAGCAGCCACAGTTTACACATTTCCTTTCAAAGGTGATTAGTATTTACTAAGGAGAGAGGAACGAAAGAAAAGAGATACGGAGGTTGAGCATGAGAAATGACTTAGGCCACTAATTGCATTTCATGTCAAAAGTAGGAGAAATGTGCTAAGAAAACACGTTGTGCCTACTTTCCAAACTGGCTAAGTATGAGGCACATACGGGTCAAATACCTAGCCTAAAGTCCCACAGCTGCCCCAGGTGGCGGCGCGGGGGCAGCAAGCTGGACTCAGGTCCAGGTGGTCTGATATCAAAGCCCCTGCAATCAATCTCGCTGCCTTAAAGTGATGAAAGGGACAAAGCGCAAAAAAAAAAATAAAGCCCAAACGTGAAACTTACTTTAAAAAGCAACCAATCCACCCATACATCTTTTCCAGCAGCCTTAGGAGGAGAAATCACTGATCCCTGATGTTCTGCCCAGGCCAGGGACCGGGGACACAAGTCACAGCGGACACGAAGCTCTGAGAGGCTGCCTGCCCTAAGTGCCCTGACACCTATTAGGACCATTTTGGTAGAGAGAAGGCAGCTTAAATACAAGTGCCCAAGGTTGTCTTAAGCCTGCTATCTACATTTTTTCTCCTGGGTATCCATCATTAATCATATTTTCTCATCTTAGCTAAAATCAGCCACATGGAGGGAATGTGGTCTCTCATTTAAATAGGGGGGAACAAGGCAAGGGACCCCAAGGGTCCATCCTGGGCAAGCAAGGAGGCTGCACTAAGAACTTGGTAGGGCTGTGGCCCCCAGAGGGCCATAAGAGGACACTGGTCTGGAGGCAGAAGGTAGGGTAGGGTTTGGGAGCAGGCAGGCAACCGCAGCTACTTCAGCTGAGTTCAAGCTCATCCTAATCTTGGGCATGCCTCAAAATCCTCTCTCAGAGGAGACAACATGTTTAAAAGCCCAACGCTCACACGTGACACTCACGAATGTAGAAGAAAGAAAAGACAAGAAACTTACCTCAGACATATTTCCCCTGTCTCTGTGATGTTGGGGTGCCAGATCTTGGTCAGGCATTTCACTTTGGGAGGCTGCAACACAGAGAGAATGAGAGATCACGCTGACAGTCTCTGCAAATCACATATCCAGGCCAGAGCTTTACCACATACCCTATCTAGACGCTTGTTTCATGGCTTACTCAGCATGTAGTTTGACTCGCCGAGCATGTGTTCAACCTTGAATACTGGCTCACCTCACCCACGAGGCATTTGTTGATGGGCTGCGTCCACAAGGGCTAGTCTCAGCAGCAAAGTCTACCCCATGGGCTTCTGAGCACCTCTCTACAAGCCCCAAATGTCCTGCCAGCTGACAGTGCTGGTGACTGGACCTTTGTCACCTCCCACATCCCCTGGGTTTGGGACTGCAGGTATCCACAGTGCACTCTAGGGAATAGTTCTGCATCCTCTGGGCCCAAATCCAACCAGAAGCCCCAGATTCCTTTGCACTACAAGTTACTATGGCTTAAAGTTACTGCTCCTTGCAAGAACAGCCTGTTCCCTTTGCTAGATTTTTCTGAAGATGCTACTGTCACATACGTTTTTCCTAGATGAAAGCCCTAGTCCACTTAATATTTAAAGGAGAGAAAGAGAATGAAAATGAACTTGTGGGGATAAAGTATATCAACATCATTTATGACTTGGCATGTTTGGATAAAGTTCTTTTAAGATTTTTCTAGGTCAGGCACTGTGGCTCACTTAGGGAGGCCACCTAAGAGAAGAAAATATAATTAACAATAGATGCCCAGGAGAAAAAAAATCTCAGCACTTTGGGAGGTCGAGGTGGGAGGATCGCTTGAGGCTAAGGGTTTGATATCAGCCAGGGCAATATAGCAAGACGCTGTCTCTCCAGGAAAAAAAAAAAAAGAGCTGGGCATGGTAGTTCCTCCTTGTAGTCCCAGCTACTCAGGAGGCGAGGTGGGAGAATCACTTGAGCTCAGAAGTTGTACGCTGCAGTGAGCTATGATCGCACCATTGTACTCCAGCCTGGGTGACAGAGTGAGACCCTGCCTCCAAACCAGAACACCAAACCAAACCAAACCAAACAAATTTCTCTGTTACAAAGGCAATCCATACTCAAGAGAAAAGGACAACAGAAATGAAATATGTAAATATATAATAAATTATGCTTTCACTTTTGCTTTTTATGTAAGAATATATACACTCCATCAAAATGCTACCCAGAAATTATGTGACACCTGAAGTACATGTGTTTTATGCCTCTTTTCTAGGCCACACACATAGTGTGCATGCAGCATACTCATTTTAGTTATAGAATAAAGCTGTGCTACATATGTTTTAGCTATTTCTGCCATTGTTTCAGATGGTGTCCTGCATTCTATGGTACACCTGCCCGAGTTTAACAAGCACTTCCCTACCTTTGGGCCCCCAGGTTGCTTCCTCTTCTCGCAACCCTGCTCTATCAATGCAGGGTTCATCCTGGATGAAATGTTTCCTCAGGATGAAGCCCAGCAAGAGGATCTGCTAGTCAGAAACCCTAGCTTCTGATACACTGCTCATGTTCTTCAGAAGACGTGACACCCACCACACCCACAACCTGCAGTGAGGGAGAGGGCCTCTTCGCCAGGACTTCCCACAGCAAGGTACCCTTGGTTAACATGCAGAAGTGTCAAATCACAGGATCTCATCACAAAGGTCATCTCAAAAAGGAATCAACCCTTTGTGAAATGGGTAACATTTTCCCCGTGTATCATTTGCTATTAATTTTTATTTATGATGTTTTCTGAGGAAGTTATTTTTGTAATCAAATTTTTATCTTTGATGCCATACTTAGAAAATACTTTACTATCCAAATATCCTCTTTAACTTTCTAGTAAACTTTTATAGTTTCATCTTTTTATTTATTTCTATAAACCAAAAATACTTTTTCAACACTCTAATGAGCATTGTTTCTAATTTCAAAATACCACAAAATCAGTAGATTCCAAAAAACTGATTAAACTGACTGTGCAAATCCACGTGTCTGAGGACAAAGAATTTAGGTTTAGAATGAGTTTAAATAAATTTCACATTGTGCTTTTCTATAAATAAATGGGAATGTATTTAATAGAAAGGAGCAACTGCATCTTTCCCTTCCACTGAGGCATTTGGGCTGCAGAGGGAAGGTCAGACTGCCATGAAGGGCAGGGCTGTGTGCCCCCGCCTGGGTCACTGGATGGTGGCAGTCTAGTGCTAGGCCGAGTCACCAACTCTGTTTTTGCAGGAACCTAGAAAATTGGCAAACTCACTCTCCCTCCCAAGCAGGTGCCCCTTCTGTGGAGGCCCTCACACATGACCACCCAGCCTGGTGCTACCACATCTCCCAAAGGCTTGGGGGTATTCGCCCTTCCTCCTGTCCCCTTTACACCTTCCATAGTTTGATGTTAACACAGGTACCTACTTTTGTCAATGGTCCTCTTAACTGTGGTTCCAGAACAGAGGGCAAAACTCTGCACCTGGCTTCTCACACACATACTTTCCAAACTGAATTAGGCCCCTAGCCCCTTCCCCCCAACCCCAGTGGCCCACAGCTAGACAAACAATGCCCAGCCCTCCCACATTTCCCCTCAGTGCTTGGCACGGCCACCATCACTCACCCTGCCAGGAGTCTAATGTATGACAAATCTGGCCTTTCAAACCAATACAGAACTGGGTTATTTGGTGGGCCACTGGCTACCCATTTGGAAAAACAGTGTTCCAGATGCATTAAAATTAAACATAAAAGAGAATTATAGGAGGACTAGAAGAAAATGTAGATGACCATCTTGGGGTCTGAAGGCTGCTTTAAGCATTTCATAACACACAAAACTCAAGCAGTGAAACAAAAAAACAAAACTTGTATAGAACAACAACTAAAGACGGCAAATGCAAAACAAAGAATTTATAGCATAGCTAAAACACCTAAGAAAAAAGTTTCACATACTTTGCATGTAAGGACTCTAGTAAACCTAGAAGAAAAACAAATATCCCCAGTGGAAACATGGGCAAAAGACATAATAGCAGCTCATAAAAAATATAAATAGCTAATTAGTGGGAAATACTATTCAGCATCCGACTTAAGAAATGAAAATGCAATTGCTTGAACCCGGGAGACGGAGGTTACAGTGAGCGGAGACTGTGCCACTGGACTCCAGCCTGGGGGACAGAGCAAGACTATATCTCAAAAAAAAAAAAAAAAAAGACAACCGGATATTAAATGAGATACCATTTCCTCCCAAAATGGCAACAACAACAAAAAAAAGGCAAACATTCTACCTTGGTAAGTGTTTAGGGAAAGGGAATTTTCAAACACTGATGGTGAGGATGCCAACTGACATTCCTCTTTGGAAGGTAATTTAATAGGATTTATCCAGAACCTTAAAATGGAGCATCAATCACTCAATACCCACAATGCCATGTCTAGGAACTGATCCAGAGGAAAGAGGCAGACAGACATAAGATGCATGCCCCAGACTTACCTCACAGCCCTATTTATTCTGGGGCAGCAGACCACAGCCTACAGACCAAATCCAGGCTGGGACTGTTTTCACATGGTCAAAGACTGGTTTTCACATTTCTAAAAGGTTGTTGAAAAAACAAAAAAGAATATGGGACAGAGACCATATGTGGTCCACAGAGCCTAAAATATTTATTGCTTAGCTCTTTACAGAAAGTCTGCTTTATACTACAAAAGGTTGGTCAGCCAGTGACCAATGATAAAGGACTGGTTTAAATGACACATCATACAAGGAAGTACTCTTATTAATGATGATGCAGTCGTGCACTGACTGACATGAATGTGTACGTCCATCATATTATGATGGGAAAGCCCCGAGTTACCAGACTATGTGTAGCATCACCCCACTGGTATGTAGGATTTATACTGTCTGCAACAGACATTAGAGAGTCATGGTGATCATCTCTGGGTGGAGAGATTACGGGTGATTATTATTCTATTTTTGCATGGCCGTGTTGTCTCAATTCCCTACAAAGTCTGATAATTTCATACGAAGAAGGTGAGTGGGAGTTCAGGTGTCACTTGTGGTCGTCATCACTGCTATTCAACAAGTGTTTCTGGTTCTCCTCCTCCAGGGCCCACGGCAGGACAGTCCCTCCGGGCTGGCCATGGTCATGTTATCTGATTTGGCCAAAAACATGTGAGGAGACGTGGTGTCTTCACTTCCAGGAGGAAACCAGAGCCAAGAACAAAGAGCAGTACTCCTTTCTCCTGCTGAAGCACATAGCTTCCTCCAACCAGTCCTGACTGACACACCCGTGGGCTGTGTGACACCACAGGCCAGCTAGGGTCTGGGCTAAGGCTCTCTCCTCCTCCAAGGCATCCCCAGGCCACATCATGTGCTCCTCCTCTGGGCATCCCCACCAGCCTGAGGAATAGCCGTCGCCCACATCACTACCCGGGCTTCTCATTATCATGTCAGCGTCTGTCTCCCCAGAGACTGAAATTCTTAAAAGGCCACCAAGTTCCCATCCTTGGCCCTCCAGTGTCTGACATGGAGCCTGGCACAATGTAGGAGCTCACTCAATGTCTCTACATCCGTTTGGCCAGTTTCTAAATTGACAAATTACAAGGCAAGCTTTAGGCTGGGAGTTAAACTTCAGAGGCAAAGGGACAAAAACACACAAAAAATTTGAATTTTAGCTGCTGGGATATTGGGTGGGGTGGGGGATTCCAAATAGACATTTTTCTTTTAAAAATTTATTCTGAAATGACGATCGACTTTATTAAAGGTTTTCCACATTCACAGTCTTAATAGACCTTCACTGCAGGAACTATAACTCTTAGGAAAAAAGTCCTTATGAAGTACAGAAATTGTGTCAAGTCAGTCGTGGCAGTGAAGCAGAGAAGCATCTGAGAAGTGCCAGCCCACCCCTAGGCTCCGCACTGGCCGCCGCTGTGTCCGCTCTCACTGACCCACGCGGCGCCTTCAGAGTGTGCCCTCACACTCTGTCCTGAATGCCCGTGCCTATGTGATCTTCCTATGCTGGCTGAATTATTTCATCTCTTTTCTACACTGTTAAGTTTGTGGGGGGCAGAGATAGGGGCAACCACTGAACAATCTGTGTTTTTTGCCTAGCATGACAGGCTACACATTGGAAATAGTGTGGGCAAGACGGCTGGCACTCCCTCAGGGCTCACAGCCCAGTGGGAAAGAGATGCTCGGGAGAGTCTGTAAGCAATGATTCATTATAAACATGGCAAATGCAACTACTTTTGTGTTCAACCAAGTACTGCACCCTAATGATCTTCTGGAGAGTCCCTGATGGGGACACCAGTGATACACGCTGGCCCCTAAGGAAGTTGCCCCACGCTTGCCTGAATGAAAGGCAGACAGGAAGAAAACATGAGAAGGGGACAGGAGGCCGGGTGCAGTGGCTCACGCCTATAATCCCAGCACTATGGGAGGCCAAGGCTGGTGGATCACTTGAGGTCAGGAGTTCGACACCAACCCAGCCAACATGGTGAAACCCCATCTCTACTAAAACTACAAAAATTAGCTGGGCGTAGTGGTGGGCACCTGTAATCCCAGCTACTTGGGACGCTGAGGCAGGAGAATCGCTTGAATCCAGGAGGTGGAGGTTGCAGTGAGCCGGGATCACGCCACTGCACTCCAGCTTGGGTGACAAGAGCGAAACTCCGCCTCATTAAAAAAAAAAAAAAAAAAAAAAGCTGGTGGGACAGGAAGGAAAGGCTGGGGAGAGGAGAGGAAAGGACCCTACAGAAGCAGAGTAGGAACATGGTTCATGCAGAGTCACCAGCTGCTCTCGGTACTTCTGGGTTTGAGAACATGGGGTTTTATTCCTGATGAAATCTGACCAGCCCATCATATACGAAACTTCCAAAAGAGACAGCAGTGGAAATAGAAAAATGTAAGATCATCATTACAGAGTTAAAGGTCAAACACAGCACACCAAACTTCAGAAAGGCTGCACAGGATGATGTTTTCCCATGGGGACTGGGAGTGAGGAAGCGGGGGCAGGGCTGAGGAATAGCAGGTCTGAGAGAAGGACAGGAAAATCACTGGGAAAATTAAAACCTTACCCTCCACCTCAACCTCTGTGCCAGTCTCAAACGAATAAGGGAAACAAGTCTTCAAGGCTCAGTGGCTTTCAAGTCATTCTTTATTCCATTTTCCTTCCTATTTCTTGAAGTCACAAATGGGACAAGACAGTATGACAAACATTTTCTCACCACCTGGTGTGGTACGAAGGGCACATGCTTAAAAGCTGGGCAGCCCTGGACATGAAGTGACTTCAACAATTCAGCTGTCTCCATTGGCAAAGCTAATATTTTTAACTTTAGCTTTCAGAACCCTAACTTCCTAATGTATAAAGATATAAATGTTAAGATCATCCACTGACAGGAGGCTAGGGCAGGAGAACTGCTAGAACCCAGGAGGAGGAGGAGAATTGCTTGAACCCGGGAGGTGAAGGTTGCAGTGAGCTGAGATCACACCACTGCACTCCAGATCCGTCTCAGATAACGAACTAAACCAACCAACCAACCAACCCACCCACAGAACTATCAGAAGAATGGAATACAGTGAGTGAAGACACCTGGCACACAGAGGCTCTCAATCATGCCCATTCCTTACCTGGTATTTTCTCTTAGTTTGCTTTCTTCCTATAGTGAAAACAAGGAGCTCTGCTACTAGATGATGCCAGATATACCTGAAACGATGGTTCTCTGATGCCTCATGACTTATCTGGAAAGTTTATCAGCTTACACTTAACTCCCTGCTATGACATCCAGAACAGTGTGTCATAAGTATTTAGAGGCAAATCTAAATATAGAATTTTAGATACTGTATGCCTGTTTGTTTCCAGAAACCACCAAAGAGTCCCCAAATTCTAAATATCTGTACTGAAACCAAGCCTCTGAAACCACCTCGCACTGGACACGGTGCAGTGCTCCGTCACCAGGTTTCTCAGTGTGGTCTGGGAAGAATGGAAAGTCTCAGCAGGTGGTGGATGGACAAAGACTGGAAATGTGTATTTTCCCGTCTTTGTCTACAAATTAAAAAATTACTTGGACTGCTTACTCTTCCCCATCCCCAAAAATTACATTTCAAAAAGAACCCTAAATGGAGTAGTCTGGTAAAAAGTCAATTTCCATAGATGAAGGTTTGGCTTCTCAAACAAGTGTTGCAGCCACTGAATGGAGCCCTGTGGCTGGGGACAGGCAACTCCACTCGTCAGGCAGTGGGAGCACACTTCCCACAAGCGAAGTCACAGGCACAGTGTCCCAAATGCCCACATCCTCATGATGGGAGTGAGGCCTCCTTTTCTCTGGCAGCACCATCAGCTTGTGCTTTCCTACTGGATGGGCCAAGAGGGTTAGTTAGAACACGTGAGGAGGAAAACATATCCATGATGCACGCCAATAAAACAAGCACACTGAACTGCCCGTACGCCAACTCCTGGCAGTTTGGGCCTAGACACATCACACCCGTCTCTGAGGCGCAGCCACACCTCCTCTAATACCCCAACTCAGGGGTGTGGAATTATTCAGAATCTCCAGTGGTTTGTCACTGCCAAATCGAAAATGCCCAACCAAACCCACACTTCTGAATTTTCTCATTTTTTCCTCTATTCTTCCCCAACTCCAATTCTTCACTCGAGTTGACCTGGCCCATCCACCTTCTGCAGGTTGCAAGTTCTCATGTCCACACCTGTCACCACGGTTCACCACGTTTCCATGTCACCTACAACACCCTCCCCTGGTTCTGGGCCACAACAGGGTGACTCCAATTGGATTTCCCCCTAAAAGCTTAACTAGCCCTGACCACTTTCCAAAGTGATCATTACTTTCCCTTCTCTGAATTCTCAAAAACTAGTTTCCTATCATTGATCAGTATCTCTACTGTCCTCTACTTACCATTTTTATCACTTTATCAACTTTCTACACTTTATCTCTCCTAATTGGTCTGCAAGTTCCACCAAAGCAAAGACATAATGTAATGGTATTTGGTATAATCATCGCCTAAAAGGATCTTTGAGGGATTAACATGAAACTATAGGTATAAATCACTTATAGTTTAAACTACAAGTCACCGTTCTCTGAAATTCTAAAATACACATTTTATAGACTTCTGGAATTTTGGTGTCATACCATGAACAAAACTACAATGCTTTTTTTCTTCAGTGCCAGACTGTAACAGATAAGAGTTATAGAAAATACACAGGCAGGCTGCCTGGCACACAGTACTCATAAGTATTTGTTGAATAAACAAATTCTCTACTAACACTCTAAATACTGCTGATGAGTGACATTCATCACAAAAATACTGAAGTGAGTACTCAGTCACACATGGACACACGCAGAGAGGAGTGCTAGGGCCCTGTGCCAGTGGCGGGCCACAGCCACAGGCAGCCCCGCCCGAGAAGTAAAACAACAGGCTCAACGCAGGCTACTCACCACCATGTTGTACGCATCGGGAACTTCAGTTTCAAACTGAAATTTTCCACCCTGGTAGTAACCCTCATCTATCAAAAAACACAAAACAAAACAAAAAAATCCTTTAAATTAAAAAAAAAAGGAAACAAAAAGCAAACACTCTGTTAGGATATGGCAAATACAGAGAATCAGGAGTTTAAAAACAGGCCTGCGGAGTTCCTCGGTTCCATTACCAAATGCACACACACTGGTGGAAGTCATGCCCCTGCCTGAACAGAAATGGGCTCCATGCTGTCACATGCCTGCTGTCTTCTCATGGGGCCAAGCACACCCTCAGGGAAGGGAAGGGACATCCTTCTGGGGCCATCTGCCTTGCCTCCTTGCATCCTACCATCTTCCTGGAACCTACAACCCTCTGAACACATCTCGTGCCTTAAGTGAATTCTTTATCTGCTTACTGCTGGTCTCCTCAAGAGAATGTCAATTGGAGGACACAAGACTAACAGTGACCAACAAACCCTTACTGAGCAACCACCCTCTGCTGGGCATGGTTCTAGGCCTTGGGGACACAGCAGTGAACCTGACAGAATCACTGCCTCAGTGACTGCTTGGCACAGCCTTCAGAACAGAGCAGACCTTCTGGAAATGCGGGCTAATAGGCACAAAGGAGGATGCCCAGGGTCTGAGCATCACTGACATTGCCATCCACATGCTGTGTACCCCCACTCCCTCTTTATCCTGCCCCCCACACCCTGTAGACCCCACAAGGTACTCATATGGTACCCAGCCAGGGGTCACTAAATGGCTGCTGGTGCCAGCACAGGGCACTCCAGCATGAATGAGCTTGAAAAGCCACTAGAAATTAAATTATTCTCGATTTCCAAATTTGACAGAATTAGCACCATTTTAAAGTTAAAATTCAACTTCTCCTAAAATATTTATCATGAACAAACCAGCAATATTAAATCTTACTTTTCTCAATTTTTTATATGAAATGAATGCATAACAGCAAGTTGTTAGCCTCAAACAAATCAACATTAAAAAAAAATTCCATTCCTTAAGAGTTGAGACTGTATCAACATTTATGTCATCTATCCGTTAAAACTGGCATTACCTGGACCCTGACATTTTTTTTCTTTGCCAATCTGATAGAAGAGAAATACTAGTTCTCTTTTATTTTACATTCTCTGATGAATACCAGTGAGGCTAAAATTTATATTATTACTGGTCATTTATGTTTTTTCTTTTAAGAACTGAATGATCAATGTTCTGAAACTCTCCTTTTATTACTGAGGTATTCATCTTTTAATTATTAATATAAAAAATCTCTTAAGAAAATTAGCCTTTGCTTTTTATATGTTACAAGCAATTTTTCTTAGGCTGCTGTTTGCATTTTGATTTTGTAGTTTCTGAACACTAGTTTTCCATTTTTAAGAAGCTAATCTTTCTTTAGGGTTTCTGTCTTTGGTGTCATGCTTAAAAAAGGCTTTTCCCAACGAAGATTGTATCAATACCTTCTTATATTTTCTTTTAGTAATTTAATGGTTTCATAGATTACATGTAACCAGCTCATTCATTCATCAACTGATTACAGACTAAGGTCGTATTTTTTTTCCTAACTGGTTGCTTACTCATCCCAACGGCATTTATTATTCTAGCCTTCCTCCACTTCTTTGAGATGCGTATTTCTAAGTTTTATAAACACACTTGGATTTGTGACTGGCAGTATAAAGTCTTTGGCAAAGACACTTGTTTGGGGAAATTTTTAACGCCAGATATAAGAACTTTTCAAATAAGTGGCATCTTAGGTATAAAATACTCAAGAGTATATATCCTTGTTCGTCAAAGCATGTGTGGATGTTGGTGTCTTACACATATTCTGATATTGACCACTGTGGCACGACACAGAAATCCAACGTCCAGCTTAACGTTACAAACCATGCAGTCCGCTCTGTGACCTGTTACCACAGCTTCTGGACGCTGCTGCTGCACTGTGCTGTCCTTTTTCTTTTCCTTAGGTATGATTACTACCCACGCGAGACACCTTGGACATGGCTGTGCTCTGGCCATTCCATCCTGCCATGCTATGTTTTTTCTCTAGTTGGCTTTTCATTTCATGGATTACAGAGTTTCAACTCTATTGCCTGCCACTTTCAAATATGTTATTTGGTCTAAAATGATTATCACTTTACCTTATTCCCTCTGCTCCAGTCGAGTTCTTACTTAATAATTATTAGGATTATATCTTCTCTTAACTCATTAAAAAGTGAGAACAGACTGTTCTATTTTTTTCTCTTTCATGAAACAAATCTCTCTCAGGAAAATGACCTGCTTCTGCATCAGTACTTCTTTTTCCCTCTTTGAAGTTGCACAGCTTTGAGACCTGATCCAAAGTTGCTTATTTATCATTGAATTTGCCCAGAAATTCCACAGTCCAACTTAAAAAGCAGCCTGGGAGCAGACTGGACTGTGATGAAACCCAAGAGCATCTCTTATTTACAAGGTTTCCTTCATGATGTCCCCAGCTTAAGAGTTCTGATTCACCTTCTGCACCTGGCTCTGGGAGGGCCTGGCCCAAAGTGGAGACGGTTCAGGGAAGGCCTGCTTACTTCTAGAGCTGGTAGGTAGAGGACTCACTGAGTATGTCTGTAACTACACGTGCACCGTGGCCCAGAGCACAGTATACAAGTCCAGGACGGGCCAAATATATGTTACTATTGTCCACGGCTGCTGGGGCTGAAAACATTGTACTTCTCAGACAACTAGGTTTTAAAATACAATAATGGAATGCAACTGAGGGAAGTTCCTGGCACTCAGCTCTCAATCAGCCAGCCTGGCCCCTGCCCCACTGTTACAATTAGAGGAATTATCCTCCTCTTTCCTTGTGCTTTAGAGCCCACTCCCCACTACCTTTGAGGAACCATACTCCAGTGTCTTCAAGACTACTGGGAGCCCTGGGAAAACAAACTGTTTGAAGGGGTATGTCGGCACAAATCACTGTGACAGAATCCATTTCTAGATTCTAGATGGCCAACATCCACATATGCTCTGTCTGGTAACAAATCTGTGAACAACACCCTTGAGGCCAAGGAGTCATGCCAGCTCTCCATCCCACCTCCTCTTTTACAACCTTCTTCCTCCCTGCAAAAACGCCTACCTCCCATCTCTCCTTGTACTAGAATGAACTGCCTCAAGGAGTGGACATTCCTAGGGGCAGTACCCGTGACACACTAATAACGGTAAAGCCACCTCAAAGCGACGCATTAAGGTAGGGTCTGCATCTCTATTTGCTTTTCCCTATCTATACCCATTTCTTCCTTTTTAAAAATTATTTATTTCTGAGACAGCGTCTCATTCCACTGCTCAGGCTGGAGTGCACAGCAGCTCACTGTAGCCTCGAACTCCAGGACTCAGGTGATCCTCCCACCTCAACCACCCAAGTAGCTGGGACTACAGGTGTGCACCACCGCCCAGCTAATTTTTTGTAGAGATGGGGTCTCACCATGCTGCCCAGGCTGGTCTCAAACTCCTGACCACAAGTGATCTGTCCATCTTGGCCTCCCCAAAGTGTTGGGATTATAGGCATGAGCCACCACGCCTGGCCTATGCTCATTTCTGTAAAGGACAAAGCATGGTATTATAAATAGTACGTCCTGGTTCATGCTGAAGTGTCTTGGGTTCAGACACTGTGGAGTCTGATGGCATGGATGATGAAAACTTCATTTAGTAACTTCAAACCCTAAACCACTGTAAAAGCAGGCATCGCCCCTTTGAGAGCCAAGCAAAGAGGATGCCAAGAAACAACAGCCATGGTGCCTTCCTCTACCCAGGGCACCGGCTCCACGCCTCACCCATCTAACTAGGAACAGGAGCTCAGAGTGAGATGGCTGTCAGAGGCATGTTGTTAGAATGAAAATGAAGTAAGACTTTCGTCTGAAGGAAAGAGTCTGATTTCGCTGACTAGTTTGACAATTAATGTATATGGCAGATCGTTTTGATACACTGAATGGGCTGAATCTGGAGCTCCAAGTTTTGGGTGAAAATAGGAAGAATGTAATAAGATTTTTAAAACACTACACTGGTATACATATTAGTATGCTGAAATTAATAACACTGCTGTTTTTCTCAACTCTTCCTCAGCATTTCCAGCAAAAGCCTGCAAAGCTGCTCTGAAGTGAGGGGTGACAGATGTAACTATTCAGGGCAAAAAAGCATTCTGATGTCCCTGCAGCTGACAGGGATTGGTAAAGTGATTCTGGTGGACATTTCAGAAACTGAAGCAAAGGATTCCAACAACTGAGTGACAAAATCTTCTCCAAGTCAGGTGGCTTCCAATTCTCTACTTTCAACAAAATGGAAGAAGGAACCTAATCTAATAGTCAGCGGAAAAATCATGAAAATACTTTACATGAGGACGGGCAAAGTGGCTCATGCCTGTAATACCAGCACTTTGGGAGGCCAAGGCAGGTGGCTTGCTTGAGCTTAAGAGTTCGAGACCAGCCTGAGCAACATGGCTAAACCCCATCTCCACAAAAAAAAGAAAAATTAGCCGGGTGTGGTGGTGTGCACCTGTAGTCCTAGCTACTTGGGAAGCTGAGGTGAGAGGATTGCTTGAGCCTGGAAATTTGAGGCTGCAGTGAGCCACGACTGCACCACTTTACTCCAGCCTGGGCAATAGAGTGAGACCCTGTCTCAAAAAAAAAACAACAACAACAACTTTATGATCTTTGGCCTTTAACTTGGAAGTCCAAAGACAAAATGGCACAGCCATAACATGACAACTTCCATCCCCATCTACTTATTTATATGAACAAGAAGTCCTGAGTGTTTATATCTATAAAGACAAAATAATGGAAGAAATCTGGTATTGGACCTTTGTTTCTAGCATAAAATAATATTCATTTACCAATGCATCAATTTAATCAGGGAAAATGCTAATAGTAACCCCATCATCATTTTCAGAGATACACTGCAGGTGAAATGTTATTTTATGTTTAATTATCATCAGAATTTGCCTAAATTCATCATTCATTACACAAACAGTTGATGAGTGCCCACCATGTGCCACACACAGTTCTATGCCCTGGAG